CAACGAAAACAAAGAAGTAATAAAAACTAGCATCGTAAATAGTGACAAAGAAGAATATTCAAAATAAACTTATTTTTCGAATTCATGCTTCGATTCCGATATTTCGATTCCGAAATGAATCACCATCATCGCAATTAGTGACAAAGAAGAATATGATGCTATCGATGAAGAAAAGGAGACCAAAGAAGATGACCAGCCAATTAAGAAACCTGACACCTAATTGGCATCAAAGTTCAATTTTACAACACCAAAGTTAATTTTTACAACGTCAAAGTTAATCTTGACAAAGTCAATATTTCTCTATATATACAGCAAGGAGCACTGACGATGATTCATTCGGAATCGAAATATGGCCTTATTTGCAGCATGAATTCGAAAAATAAGTTTATTTTGAATTTTAATAAACTAAACGTTCACCAAAAAATTTTAGTGAGAAAAATCGAAACAACGAACTACAAACATATTAACGCCAAACATTCGGTAGAATTTATAGAATATTGTAAATATATATATATATATATATATATATATATATATATATATATATATACTGTGTCTCTACAATGTTAATTCTTTGTTTTTTAAATGTGAATACTTAACGGCCATTTAACTAGTTTTTACGATCTTCAACTTCGTCCATTATGACACTTTTACGTGTTTTCATTATCGATGATTCCTCTGTTTCTGAATTTATTAGTGGTAAGGATTCCAATTGCCCGTTGTTGAATATTTATTATTGGGTATCTTTGTTCTATGAACATGACTCGGCTAGTCGTAAATTATAATGGCTTTATTGTAATGTAAGATTTCAACATTGTTGTCCAAAATTTGTCTAGTAATTTAATTCATCATGCATGGTGTAGTATTCTTCATCTTTGTTTTTGTCATTCCTTTGTTCTTCATTGAAGTTAGTAAGTATTAAGACGTCAAATTATCACTCTTTGTTGGATGTTTATTTGGGATATCTATTAGAACCGCTTCTGCAATTTTTAGATGCACTGTGTCGGTGTTTTGATAAATTGTTTTTGTGTTGTTGCCATTTGTTGGCTCCTATATATTGATATAGATATATTGGACACTGCAAGGCAATTAAAAATTTTTACCAAATCAACGAATTAATGTAGGTTAACCGGTTTAGTGAGCATGAACTTTGAGAAGTTTTAAACAGCCACAGTTCTTACATTATTGAAAAAATTCAACTGAACATCCAGTTTTAGAATATTCTTCTCCATCCGATTTCTCATAAACCTTTTCCAGATCTTGGTTCCTCTTTGCAGATGAATTTCAGTAAGCAGATATTACTTATTCTTGAAGATTCGTTAACTATGATGGGATGCGTGGCAACAGGCAGGAGCGGCTGGAAGAAATTTTTGTCTCTCAGTGCATGTCCCTTCACATGTGAACATCCACATGAATTTTTGTATATGATTTTTGCACGCAGCTTCAATTTCTTCTTCCATATGTGCATCACGCACATCCACATATTGCTGATGTTAGCTGTGTTGTAATTTTTGTATGAAAACTCGTCGTATGCACGTTGTATGCTATTTAAAAGTGTTTATTCGAAGGTGGGTCGTGTGCTTTCTGCTTAGTAGTTGTGTAGGCGTGTTTGTACTTATATTTTGGTGATTCGTTCCATTTCTACATTCGTGTTTTGTGGTTTTCTATTAATGAGGAATAGAAGATATTTCCATGTTATTCAGCACAGAAGCACGGTGAGCTGAGCGACTTACTATCATAAAGTACCATGAATAATGTAAAGCGAAATAAATCACGCACGCGTGTTCTTACAAACTTATCCCGTGTTATTGCGTCAACTTCTATCAATAAAATCATAATATTATTTTCATGTGCGCCATCATGTGGCCGGGTCAGTAGGTACCTGCCGGGTATTCATTTACTTGTTGTTATTGTATGCCGATCATCTGACCACTTTTAAGCGCTTTCATTTTCGTTTATGATACGTTGAAAAGTTTACATCCAACTAATTTTATCTAATAATTTATATTTAATAATTTTTTCTATCTGTAATAAAGAAGAATGTATAACTAATAATAGTTCCATTACAAGTTCATTTAGAAAAACAGAAATGCCTCGATATTTAATGAGGTGCGTGAACGTAGAAGGTAAATTTTAATTGAAACGTACAGCGATAAGATAAGAAAGGTTTATGGCTTGCGACGTGACAGGTTGTTGATCATGGAATATTATTCAGGTTCTCTCAACGTGTAACAATGCAATCATTTAATCACTAAATAAAATTACCTATGCCGAGAGCATATTATATGATTGCGATAAAATAAAATATTATAAAATTTATATAAGTAGAATTATATTTATAGCTATAAAATATTTATCATTTCAACAAGATTTAGAAAAAAATATAGCTTCATACCTTAAAAATGAATTTTTCGCACTACATGCTACCTGGTTCATAAATTTGATATTGGCCACTATCTTCGAATTATTAAATTATATAGAATGATTGTAAAAGTAATTTTAAAGATAAACAGCGTTGCGCGTTGAAGCCGGGGAAACTAAGCACCAATCTCGACAGAAAATATCACCATTTCACATGTGATAATCAGAACTTCATGATCTTCATTGGATCGAATTCAGTTTCAAAAACTCTTGGCAATTTAATTGTTTAATTTCTGTTTAATATCATTGAATATATTTTAGTTTCGATCCTTACAAGCTTATCAAGCTTCTGGTTATATTTGGTTGAATACGGGAAATTGTGGACCTTGTAATAACAGTTAAGTTTTAATGAATTATTATTCACTTTCATTAATAATTTTTGTACTTTTATATTTACTTTTTTAATAACAACCCCTCCCCAGCCAATAATCATTTAGTGCTACTCTAGGCGGATTTTCCGTATTTTTCATTTTTATTTTGTTATTTTAAACTTATAATTATTTTAATCCTTCAATTGTATTTATATTCATACAAGATCTTGCTTGGTGGGTGTACCAATCGAGCCACATCGAAATAAGGTCATTCCTTCAATAAAAATTGTCCAGTCTTCATATTAATTTTAATAAAAAAACTATAAGAAATTTATTAACGTCAAACTATTTCACGCGAAAAATTTGGTAAAACTTGTAAATTTTTGCATTAAATACAGTTTTCTTCCAACACACATGTAGATAACGAAAGGATGGAAAATAAAGCATGCAGAAAATGACCTAACAAACCGGAGACATCACTAAATAAAGTTGTAAATTTACACCTACTTTCCTTTCCTGTAAGCAAATTTTGTTACTGATAGCTCTCTGGACTAAACTTTGCAAACAACACCAACCCAATCAATCAATCAACAAATCAATCAAGCAATTAACAAACCATTCAATCAATCAATCAACAAATCAATCAATAAATCGTTCAAATAATCAATCAATCAATGTATCATCATAATACAAAAACATTTCGTGATACATATTTTTAATAGATCAACATTTTATGTTTGTATAATACATTGCCTTAAGATGCACCAATATCCCACGATACATCAATACCTCATGGTACATCAACAACCTACCCCTCCTACGACACATCTAGCTATATTTTACCTGATGATCCCTTAATTATATCACCAGCATCATTGTTGAGAAAGAATCTTGTTTGTTGACAACACTTGCAACAATTACAACAACATCAATAACCGAACTGCCGCAACAACTACAACATTCAACAACAACTACAACATTCAACAACAACTACAACATTCAACAACAACTACAACATTCAACAACTACTACAACATTCAACAACAACTACAACATGGAATATTATGACGTCACTATTGATTCGCGGCGAGCTTTAATGAAGGAATAATATTAAACACGCATTCAGGCATCGTCACTTGAAAGTTTAATGCATCAGGCCACACTCATCATGGCCTGCAGTCAATCTTTTAATGTGATGCATCCGACGCATTGTGATTGTCGAATATTATTCACTGAATAATATTCGACAATATTCATATCTACAGATGCAAACACTCATTAAATGTAAATTGTTTTATTTTTTGGTTCGAGGTCCAATCCCGCTGGTTCTTAAGTCAACTGAAAAAATTAACGACTCTCTATAGACAGTGCGCAGGGGATATGAATGGAATTTGTCGTGACGGAACGGGTCCTTCAACTTTTTAATTTTTTATTCTCTTTCAATTGTTTCTCAGAGGTAACAACAACAAATACAAAGTATACCTATCTATTAACTGGGAAATAAAATATTTCAAAATTATCTCAAAGTTGTGGCGTGAACTTGAATTGATGGTGGTGAATGTAGGTGCACTCATTAAATGCTACATAACGAACTTAAAGTCACGTCATAATCCATCTTGTCGTAGCGGATCACCTTCAAGTCGAAATCGACCCCTGTCAATCTGCGGTTCGTTGCTTTTATTTCAACTGACAACATGAAAGCAGGAAGAAGCACACGTGGGTACTATTTAAAAAACAACAAAATTAAGCATATGAAAACACGTTTGAATACTTATTTTCCATCTAGTTCACGTTATATTTTTAATTGTCAGCGATCACTAACGGCTTAATTCATCAAGCAACAATATGATAAAAGTGATGTGAGAGGTGGAAATTAATAAGAACTGTGAAATAATTCTTGAATGCCTGTTTTAATGTTTAAGTTCCTTTGAACTAATCTTTAAAATGAGCATTCAACTTCGTTTGAAGAATGCAATCTCATGAGAATCGTAACCTGTAACAGCGAATGATGAACTATCCTGACCAACAAACTTGGCTCCTTGAATCAGCAAATCTTCCACGAGAACGTTACAAACGTGTTCGACCTGTTCATCAAAGTGTACATTTCAAATAATTCCTTTTCTCAATCGCCGTGAACATTTTAAATATGTTTGTTCTTTCAATCATTGCAGATGTGTTCATCCAATCACAGGATGGGAAAGTTTGTGTTGCGCTGTGATCATTCACCAACTTTTAAACTAATCAAATCATTTATCAGAAGCGTGCTTTACGAGCGTAATTTTTAAACTTTTCATCGCTGTCCAGAGCACACCATTATCCAGACGGTGTTGACAAATATTTCCAATAAGTATTAAACAAAATCGTTGAGAAAAAACAAACTTGGTCCAAGTTTTCAGACAACCTCCACAGCCTCACGTAAGCATCCTCACCTGCTGACAGGATCTGCGCAAAATCCGGTGTGAAAAAATCATTCGTTTGAAAAGAATAAAAGAAATTAAAATTAGCATTATTTATCATTGACCGTGAAATTTTTTCAGAGAACCCAATTTGCCTATTTATTGATTCGGGCAATTAATGCACCATTTGCGCGTAATTTCATCATTTTAAAGTTTTTATCGTTTAATTTTTCTTAACTTTAATGTTAATCCGAATACATTTTTTTTTTATAAAATAATGAATAAGAAGACCATTCTAAAACATAAAATAGAAAAATAAGCAAAATTACATAACTGCATGGACAATAAATTAACAATTTTATAGATTTAAAAAACGCCTGTCGAATATTTAACAAGACGGAATAAAGATGAGATACCATTCGATCATTGTGAGACAGATGCAGAGAGTTTATCAACCGAGCGTGCGCACCAATTTCACACAGCAGTGACCCAGATTTGAGGTCAAACAAACACAGGTGACCCGACCCATATGATCCGAGAATACGATCCTCGAAACATATCAGCGAAGTGCACGGATACCTTGAAAAATTGTTCGCTATATTTTTTTATCTAGATACTTCGTTTTTGTTGGTATTTAATTATTGATGGCGTGAGGTGAAAAATTTGACAAAATAGTTCATTATATTAACATACATTATACATACATAAATACATAGGAAGAAATAAGGAACTCATCTTGATATTTCTATAAATCTATTCGATATCTATGATTATCTTTGGATTTATAAAAACAGTATCATTGACTTTATTCAGCTCATAAGGCTTTGATTTCTATTTTTTACAAGTAATCAGATGTAAATTATAAAAAAGTTAGAAATATAATTTTATAAGCCTTTAGGCTTGAAAACAAAACTTTTTTCCATGTATTTTAAAAACACCAAGAAAATAGGCGATTTAAAATAAATAACTGATTTTATAAATCAGGGATGGGCAGACTTTTTACCTTTGTAGGGCCGCATATGTACTTAAATAGCAAATTTTTTCGACCAGAGGGAGAATTTTTTTAAAGATTTGGTCATAATGTCATCATGGGCTCCTTTTTTTGGTCATAATGTCTGGCTGGCTGACGACCTTTTTTGGCAAAGATGGCCTCGCGGGCCGCATAAAATAGGACCGTAGTTTGCACACCCATGTTGTAAACAATGGTCCAAAAATTAATTTTTCAAATTTTATTTAGCAAACAAATTCGAAGTGACGAATTTTTATTGAATTAATTTTCAAAATGTTTGGAAGAGGAGCACTGCAAAGACAGGCCCAACAGATTTAATTGAAATGAAATTTACTCATTCGGTTAAATAAAATTGTTTATTTATTCGAAAAAAGTTTGCAAAATATATCAGCTCATTAACGGCATTAATGCCTCATCTCTTAACTGTTAAACACAATTAAATACAATACTTCAAAGTTAATCTGAAAATCTCGTGCAAGTAATTAAAATGTTTTTGAACCCAAAGAAGAGGTTGCGATTTTTCGGGGAGAAATCAGAATAAAGATTTGTTTTAGAGAATAATGATGATAATTCAATCAGTAAATTTGCTTATTTATTAGATGTTTTCAACAAAATAAGTTAATTAATTTAATTAATTTTAATAAAATAAGTTAGTCGAGGCAACATGTAAAAATAAGAAAATGATTGAAGACGACTTAAAAGAATTTATAAAAAATAATGAAACTATGGAAGTCAAACTTGCTATATAATAACTTCAAAAGGTTTGAACTTTTAAACAGTCTTTGCACTAAAACAAAAAACCAAACAAAGTTTGAACTTTTCAAAGAAGTTAGTTCACGAACTTTTAAAAATAATTTCAAGAGAATGATTTTTACGAAATTTGCGTAGAAAGTAAATTTTGTTTTCTGATAAAGAAGTGATAAATTGAATTTGACAACTACAGGCAAAAATTTTAAAAATTACTATGCGATACTTAGTCCAAAAAAAATTTCGCTAAGAAAATTTAGTTCGGTTGTGGTCAACTATGTGTAAAGATTATTTAATAACCTACTACCGTTTGTGGCATAATATTAATGTGGAACGGGAATTTATGCATTACTTGCAACAACTTGAAAATATTGAGTCTTCTTTATAGTTTGAAAAAGTAACGCTTCCTCATTGTGTGCCTGTCGGGCCTGATTAGCTCTGTTTTAACAGACCAATAATAGCATCTTCTATAGACAGAAGATTATAAGCTACTACCACAATTTAAAAAAAATAGTGATATGGTTAAAATATATATATATATATATATATATATATATATATATATATATATATATATATATATATAACCCAAATCCATTGATTTTGATGAGTTGTTGCAATTTTGCATCTGACTGTGTGAACGTGAATATGATGATCACTCCATCAGAAGTGCCCGCCACAATGTTCTCCTTGTGGCAGATCAACTCCCATATCACGCTGCATGTGGTTACTGCGGTTCAATTATTATCAAACTAATCAACCATAGTTAAATGACGAAATAAAACATTTAAACGGGTGCGCAAAACTCTGCGTAACCAATTTCAACAACCAATCTCTACAAGTTATTCTCATTAAACATTATATTTCGCATTGGCGTAGCCAAGGGGGTTTTTCGGGGTTCAAAAATTTAAACTATATTTCACAACTTGATCCGTTTTATGTTTGCTTTTCGCCATTTTAAAAAATAGTTTAAATTTTTTCAATATTTCTCCTTTAAAACTAATATTCTAAAAAATTAAACATTTCCTCATCGTACTCGCGATTGCGAGATATTGGCAACTTTAAAATTTAGTTATTATGGTACAAATGTGCTATTGATTGATTGATTATGGTGCGAATGTGAGGCATGTTCATGACAGCGTCGTTGACGTTCACGACAGTAATGGTAATAGTAACATCTGGTGCACTCTAAGCCAAAGTTTACCATAAAAAATTAATAATAGTAAGTTATGTGTGAAAAACTCATGACGGTGTACAGTAGAAGGTTGTTATTTTCAAATGAATGCATATATGTTCATTCTAATGGTAGAAGATGAATATGTGCGTTGTGGAGTTAATACGCTAACTCAGGGCTGGAGAAAAAGTTTTATTTTATTTTTGCAATAGAGGCTAGTTCAATTTTTAAGAAAGCGTAAGATTTCTAGTTTATTTATTTATGGAATATAGTTTTATTAAATTTTATCATAATTTCAATTTATTCTGTTTGAAATTTTTTTTTATAAATTAAGTTGAACGTTGTATATAATTTAATTTTTATAATAAAAAATAATGGTTTTTTGTATATTTACATTTATATTTTGATAGTATTTTTTATTTTATTTTTTGTTGCTATATTTATGCAGTTTGAACATTGTGAAAAAATAATGTTTTTTGAAACCCCTCCCGAAACGAAACCCTGGCTACGTCTATGATATTTCACCGTTGCTAACGTCAGCACTACAAATAGCATCACAAAGAACAGTAGCGAACTTGGTAGAGTTTCCCTGTGTTTGTAGATGTTACCCTGCCTAGGAACATCAAGGACGACGATTTCTCCATAAGACGTTCCTAATTTTATAAAGTTTATAATATAAACGATGTAATTATTAAAATTAATAATTATGCTAGAAAATTATCATGACATCTAATTCTAATTTTTCTCTTCATAACTTTACTAAACTTACTACTGAATCTTTTTCTGTATTTACTCCAAAAAATCTTTTAGAACTTACTAAAATTATTAATTCTATAACGTCTAGAACCTGTTCTCTATATCAACTTCCTTCTAATTTACTTGAACAAACATATTTAAAGAATCAAAATAAAAATATCTAAGAAACACCATGTAAAAAACTCATCATTAGATTCTACCTCTTTATCTTATTATAGACCTGTTACTAATATTACTTTCATCTCTAAAATAATATAAAAAATAGTTTATAATCAATTGTCATCTTATTTAAACTTTAACTCCTTGCTACCTGTATCTCAATCTGGTTTCAGACCTGCTTACAGTACAGAAACTTCTTTACTCAAAATACATAATGATATCCTTCTCTCTAGTGACAATAGTAATCTCACTTTTCTTCTTGTTCTTGACTTTTCCTCTGCTTTTGATACTATTGATCGTACTGTTCTCTTGAGGCTGCTAGATCTTTCTTTTCATATTACTATTCTTGTCTATTTTGGTTTTCTTCTTATCTTTGCAATCGTTTTTCTTCTGTTGTTCTCAATAATTCTACTTCTAACTCCTCTACTCTTACTTTCGGGGTACGTCACGGTTCTATCCTAGGCAATTTCTTTCACTAGTCAACTATATGCTGATGATTCTTATATTTATACTTCTTTTCCTCTATCTAATCTCAATTGTGTTTTTCGTGATCTATCTCTATGTCTTTCTTCAATTATCGCTTAGTCTGACTATGTGTCTTAATTCTTAATCCTTCTAAATTTGAATTAATTTGTTTTAATAAATCTAAACACTTTATTACTATTTCTCTTATTATCTTACCTGATTCTAAAACTCTTGATGTTTTTTATAAGTTTCGTAGTCTAGGCTTTATCTTTGATTCTACTATGTCTCTTTCTTCTCAGGTTAATAATGTTGCTAGAAGTTCTTATTTTCATCTACGTAGAATAAAAAACTTTTTTCTTCTCTTGATGATCCTACTCTTTTCCTTCTTGTTATTTCGTTTGTCTTATCTAGGATTGATTATTGTAACTCGATCTTCTTTGGTCTTCCTGATTCTATACTCTATCCTTTAAGTAAAGCTTTTAACTGTTCGTCTAGTTGTTCGTGCTCCTTTCTTTTCTCATATATCTCCATATCTTGTTTTCTTGCACTGGCTATCTATAAAATATTGAATAATTTTTAAAATTTGCACATTTATGTATAAGTCTCAATCTAAATTATTTCCTAAGTACTTATCAGATATATTAATTGAACCTAAACGCCCCGGTTTACGATTGTCTTCTTGTTCTCGCTTTTTCTTAACTCATGTTAAACACTCCTTTGCTAAATCTGATTTTGCTTTTTCTGGTTTTTTTCTCTGGAATTCTCTACCTACTTCTCTGATTACTTCTTCATCACTTACGAAGTTCAGAGCGGATCTCAAGACCATCTGCTAGCAAATTTCATTGAGGAGCGCTGTTGAACATCGCGGCAATAGCGCTTTACAAGCTAATTGATTGATTGATTAATTGATTGATTGATAATCAATAAAAAATAAATTTACCAAAACAAATTTTGTCAAGTTCAAAACAACAGACACCTTTGCTGAAGCAATCTGAAAAATAATAAAAACTTTTTTTATGCTTTTAAACAAAAATTTGTGATAGGTCTGCTGCTTTCAAGTTGCCCGGATAGCTGCTGTACAGTAGTACAAAGCTTATGTATAATTTAAAATACACAGTTGTAGCTTATAATTTTTTTTCTTTGGTCCCCAAAACTGCTCAATGAGCAATTGGCAAATACCCTTAAATATACTATAGCATTATTTTCCAATGCTAAATTTTCAAAATTTTTTATACACTCAACTCAACTTTAGAGCGTTTTCGAAGAAAAGAGCGCCATTGTGCCTTGCGTTTGCAAATGTAGGTTGTTTCTGTAACTCTTATAATAAATGGACGTTTCGCCACCTAATACTTTTGCCATTACAGTAGGTTTTGTAACTTTTAATAATATTTCATAGCCTTTTCATTAGAAATAAGAGGTGTAATACATATAATCTCATTTACAACAAGTTACTGCAAGACCACCAAATTAGTCTAGAAAAATTAGTGTGAAAAATTTGGCTAGACACGAGCTTTCAACATGCATGCACATTCATTCATTCACTTTGTCCAATTTGTCTTCATTTAGTAACCTATTCATTCATTTATTCATTCATTCAATCATTTATTCATTCAATCATTCATTCGTTTATTCATTTATTCATTAATTCATCCATCAATACATCTATTTGCTGATACATTCATTCGTTCATTCATTCATTCATTCATTCATTCAATTTGTTCAAAATCTTTTAGCTGAAAAACTTAATATTTTACTGAATTTTATAAGATTTAATATTTATCAAACCTAACCGGAATCACTATCAGTCTGCCTGGCCAAACGATAACTGAACAAATATGATGCAGTCTCAGCATCAAATATCTTGATCAAAATATTATTATATACAATACATATTCGATTATTTATTTAATAATTCATTTATTATAATTATTTATTCGTTCAGCTACACTTGAAAGATGGGATATAAAAACGTCGAAGCCAACCCACCAATAATCCTTCCTCGGCACAAACAGCCAAGATTAATTTTGAGATCGTTGGTAACAACTTTGCCTTTTAACACAATTTAAAAGTGTTAAATTATTGAATCAAACAATGTTGAACAAATGAATAAATTTTTCATTTCAACAAAAAAATTGAAATATTGTATTAACGAAAAAATTGAGATTACATCATTTTATGAAAGAGTTTGGCTTCAACAGATGATGGTAAAAATTATTGTTTTAAACTTTAACGCTCGTTACTACCAGCACCAATGTTATAACTTTGAAGATCTCTCTATTTCCAGCACCAGTGTTGTAGCTTCCATTGATCGTCAAGTTTTCGTTATTTCGTAGGTTCAAGATTTCCGCTAGATAAAACAACTGCTTCAAACGTAAACTTTGTTGAACGTTTATTTGAATGCCAACAGTAATAGAAACACTAAACTAATCCAAGTAACTACATAAATCACAATTACAACTCCTCTTCAAACCTCCTGGCTTACAAACTAATTACCTCATCTGCCAATTATTGTGGAAAGTTAAGTAAATGTGATGGGCAATTGGATGACAGCAGATAGACTCAAATTAGGAACTTTCCATGGACTTGGTCTCACCTGGCAACAAATCTTAGTGTTCTTTTAGATTTTCTTGATCATTCAAAAAAGCTTATATACATATACATATAGGTAATCAAAATAATAAATTTTTGTTTAGAATACCAATAAAATAACTGTTTGTATAAGAACAATGTTTTAAAAATAAACAAATTAAATTATGTTGAAACGATTAAAAGAATGTAACAATAATTGAAATTAAATAATTCAATTGAAACAAAATTATAATTGTTTAGTTAAGAATTTTAAAATAAAATTTTGATATGGCGTTGATGTTGAATTGATTAAAGACCTGATAAACAGTGCTTGGATAAGGAGACTCAGGATATTTACAGATTATTTCTTTTTGATTAACGGAGTGGCCATCAAATGCAGCACTCAACAAATTAACAAAATGGCCGGAGACAACGACGTAATGAACCACAGACCTGCTCTCTATCTCGAACAGACTGAGGTTGTTGTTCAGCGCTGATGCACTGTGATTCATCGCCATCGATGGCTGTCTTTTATATTTATTCATTATACTAATATTAGGAAATATATTTTCTAAGTTAAAAATTGAATAAAAAAGTTTGGAATCCTCATACGCAAACTTGTGGAAATTTAAACCTCGATGAGAAAAATTTATAAAGTTGTTTATTGTCGTTGTCACTGACAATTTTTTGTAGCACGTGACCAAAGACAATAATTTTTTTAAACAAATTTGAATAAACTTTACAATTTGATAAAAAATTGCAATTATGTATTTAAAATAATGATAGAAAATATAAATATACATATTAATCAAAAAAGTAAAATTATTAAACAATAATTGTATAAACCTTAGTTTAACTTTTAAAAGAATGTTTATTAATTGAATTCACTATTAAATAGTAAACATCTTAACGAAATTTTTCATTTTGTTTTGTTGTTAAGGTTAATTTAATTTGATTTATTATGATATAATCTAAATTATTAATAATTAAATTGGTTTCGATGATTTGTTGGCTTACAGTATCAACTTGAGAATAAGTTGTTTTATTATTATTATCATCATCAAAAATTTATAAACCACCTAAAAAAGTTGAACAGTTGTTGAGTTGTGTTTTGCAGAGTTGTGAAAATATTATAAATATAAAAATAGAAGGAAACAAAAATTAAATTTTTTTTTATAATATATATATATATATATACACACATTTTTATATATATAATATTTATATTACAATTCATTTCTTTATTAAATTAATTTTAATAAATATAGTTCTGTTTTTACTTTTACTTTTTTTTTTCAAGTCTTTTGTTAATAATGACTTTCTTCTTAATTTTAATGTTTAATCTTCTTAATAGATAAATGGAAATTTTAATTTAATTGGATTTTATTGTAAATATTAATCTTAAAGTTGCAACATATACAAAAATAAAAAAAAGCAAAAGTGAAAAATGGTTTGTTACTAGTTACTTTTTTTAATTACAAGTCTATGTATGTACTTGTAATTTTTATTAATAAAATGAGTAATTGTAGTTTAATTACATTTTAATTTATTTAGTTTTGTTAATTATAAACCACTTTCAATTAAAAATAAATTGAATAGTGAAGTATAATGTATACGTAATGTATATATAATATTTTTTATTATATTTTCATCTTCACATCTTCTTTTTTTGGGCATTTTTTGTAGATAGTGACCATTTGATGACTTACAAATATATCAACTTTTTTTCATTGTCTTGTTCTTTTATCTTTTTTTGGTTTTGAGATATTGAAAATTTCATCACTACTATCACTTTCACATGATTCATCATTCTATTGTAGTTTTTTTAAAAATAATTTCCATCATAGTTAAAACTTCTTGCAGAGAATACTTCTTAGCAAAATTTTCCTGAAAAAATTAAAAAAAAATTATTTTATTAACTTGAATATCTTTACAATAGATAGTAAATTTATTATTATGTTCATACAAACTAATAATAATTCATTGATAGTGTTTATTGTATTTACACTATTGAAAAACAAACATTTGTAATGTGATTACTAAGTGAACC